GTTATTCCTGTCAGATCAAAGAAAGAGATAAGAGAAGAAAATATAAGAGGAAAAATAAAATCCAGAAATGAGGGTAACTGAAAAGCACTGCAAGACTACTGCATCATTATGACTTTTCAAATTATTTAAATATGCTAAATATCAAGCCACCACCAAAGAAATAAATATTACATAGGCCATATGCTCTGTTAGCTGCCAGCAAAATTGTCCTACTAGTATTAGTTTACGGGCACAGCAACTGCCTGTCAAACACTAGCAATTTTAATCATTTTTCAATTTGCTCTGTGAGCTGCGAGTGTGCTCAGGTATTTTGACAGGTGGCTGCTTGGTACAAATATCTGAGCCCGGTAGCTTCATACCACCTTGCTTTCCTAGGTACTCGCAATGCCTGTCAGATTGGGGGGATGCATTTGCTGCAGCATCGTGGGATAGGCACCGTACTGCACTGCTAAGCTGTGTCCGCAACTCACGGTGGACACAAGGATGACACAGAGTTAGCTTAAAGTCTAGTGCAAAGCAGTAGCTGTGCAATATGATGTTTAGCTTGATTTTAGGAAACATTTCTAATCACAAACTAGCTGAATGTCTGAAAAAAAAGTAAATAGAGATTTGGCTATGATTTTAAACAAATAAATGGAAAACCTGAAGTAGCATTTTTCTGCACACTAGATGTGCTTTCGGAAAAACATGTGATTAATCCATTATGCACTAGCTGAACATGCCCACTTAATCATTTTGCATTTAACCTACGAGGTAGTACTGAAAATAAACTCTTCTGTTGCATTTCTAATGATCAGTATAACTGTGCTGTTCCCTTTCAGCCACAACAGTTTGTGTCATGCAGAAACAAGTTCCTAACTTGAAAAAACCAGAACTCTATTGATTTTTGAGTGCCCACATTTCCAGGTGTTTGGGAAAAACGAGGGTCCCAAAATATGTAGACATTTTAGGAGAGACCATTTAGGAGTTCTTAGAGGAAGAACTATATTTTCCTAAAGAAGTGAACCAATAACATTGAAGGACAATGAATAAACTATATTTCCAATACTGTTCTTTACACATTAGCATTCTCAGCACCAACCCTCTGAAGTCAGCCAAATCTGTCCAGTGGAAAGGATTTGGATTATGATGTAAACTAACAGTAAAGACAATTCCAAATAACGTCTAATGTCCAATATAACTACTGTTTACATATTAAAAAGAGATACAGGCTTTGTACCAGGGATGTTCTGTCATGTTTCTCCACAGGAGAAGACTGTCATGGTAAAGTTCATTATCAATTACTGCTTTACAAGTACAAGATGAGTTAAGCTGTCATAATTTTCTCAGCCAGAGATCCTGTGCTGTCAAAGAATGTCAATTTTTAATCTGACAAAAGGAAGAAAATTATCTGTTATTCTGACCTCTAATTTCTTGACATTTTAATGCTGTAATTGCTGTGGTTAGTGCTGCAACCATGATTTCACCTGTCAAGTAAGAATGAATCAATATCCTTAAGCTGTTCTTCAACTTTTTAGCTCTCACCTCACTGCTTTTACTTTAAAAAAGGAAAAAAAAAATACAAATAGAATGCAAAAGGTTGCAATAAAAAAAAAAATTGAGGGCCTGAAAAATGTTTATTTTGTTACACATTTTTTCTCCTTATTACACTATCAAAACAATTTTGCAATGTGCGGAATAAGAGAGACCATTAAAATCAATAGAACTGGAGAATTTCCCAATATCTAATCATAAAAGATCTGAACAACAAAATGTAGTTTTATATATTCTGTGGAGCATTTAAGTCATAACTTTCATGTTGCCCTCATCACTACTTGAAATAAATTATAGCGATCAAATATTATTTTGTGGTATCAGAAAATTACAAAGTTGTCGAAAAATCAAAATCAGTATGTTTAAATGAAATCAATATATTTTACCCATCCAGTGCAGATCTTTAGTTCCCAAAGAGTTATTACAGGGGCAGACTTTTGTGATTTCATATAGACTTTAGTAATCTAAAACTTAGTGCTATCCCAGCATTCCAGTTTCATCCATTGTGAATTTGCAAAATAGAAAACAAAGAAAGCAAGCCAGACGGAGAGTCTTCTACTAAATAGGTCCAAAAGGAACAAAAGCAGAGGATGGCCATTTTTGCAGGGTTAAACAGTAGAGAGTTCTTAGAGGGCTCCCCCATGCATGTGAGAAAGATGTAACGAATGGCAGGGATGAGTTATCCCACCATTGAATAAATTTCTGCTCTAGCCAGATGGCTATTGAAGTGACTCCTTTACCATTCTTCAGAGAAAGCTAAGAACACCATATTCCTCAGTGATTAAGTGAGGTGCTCAAGCAATGGGTGAAAGGGAAAGGGCCAAGGTATAGCATGAACAGCTCACGGGGATCTGCCTTTTTAAATTATGTCTTTCAATCAGCTCAGACCTACATGGCAGGCAGTTTTAGCTGGAGCCTTATTTCACTGGACAGGTTCTGCTGGGACTCAGCTCAATATGAAATTAGTTATGGCCACAGTTTGAGGAGGCTACCACCGTATTTGAGTCCGTTGGTCTGATAACAGCTGCTGCCGATAAGGTTGCATTGATTGGCTTATTTCACAGACATTTGTTGAGAGCATTCACCATCTTCTTTGTGACAGAACAAAAATGTTTCAGTTTATATAGAAAATAAACATCAAGAGCATTTGTATACTGAGATATGTATTTTCCTGGATAACTGCAAAGCTCAATTAATTTTAAACTGCAATGTTTCTAAGTTAAGATGCCTGATACCACCACCTGCCACTGTAAAACATAGTAAACAATTATTATCACTTTTTTTAAAGGTGCTAGTGTTCCTATCCTTACATTTCTGTATTTATAAGAGGGATTCAGAGGCTTTTAAAAGATCTTTTATCTTCTAATTTATTTTCTGGAATATCTAGTAAAAGCCAGAATAAAGTAAATAAAAATGCCAACAAAACAATTTATATAGAACATATATACTTCTAACAGAAACATGACATCCAAATACCAGATCTAGTAGATCATCAAGATGTTAAATGCTTTATTACTGGCCAGAGAATGTCTGCTAGTTCCATAAACAGAGCTCAGGGGAAAAGAAGGCGGATCTAAATCTGTCTATATTTACATGTGCGTTGTAATTTCTTATTAAAAATAAAAAGTATTTTTTAACCCTTTTATGACAAACCACAAATCACCAATGACTGAGATCTCTTCAAGGAGAAAACATACTATTTTTAAATGCTTGCATACAGCTTTATGTATCTATATATAACAAAAATTAGGAGAATTTATTTTTTCTAGACATGTTGCCTTCTCATTGCTAACAATGAATTTTATTTACTAATCTAACTTGTGACAATGAAGATAGAGTTTTGCTTTAAGAAGTTTACGTGGTGTAAATAGCCTAAGAAGAGATGTATATGTTATTGACTGACAGGGCATGGGTTAGATGTACAAGTGAGTGAACAAAAACATCTCCATGAATTTCTTGAAATTTCTGGTGACAAGTTATGCATGTAAGTAGAGCCACAGGAGAGCTGAAGAGTCTCATCATGTCATAAGTTGTTAAATAAGGTGCACAGACAGACAGATAGACCTCAATCCTACAAGCTGCCCTGTGGGAGTAGACCCTTAAAGTCAAGACGTAGGAGTCTGCCCATGCAAATCAGGACCTTAAGCCATGCAAATCCCTTGTAGTCATGGTGCTTGACACCTGTTTCATACTTTAAAAAGCATTGCTCCTTCGTATCTCCAGTTTTGTACCTTACTGACTCTTCTTGTGCCCAAAGTTTTAAATCCAGAAAACAATTCTGTAGATGCTAACATGAAATATTTGAGGCAGTGGGATCAATGCAATTCTGGCCATTCTTAAAACTAAGCAAATACTGTTTATAAAATACAAGCTTTGCAGTGCATGGTGTGAAAATGCAGCTCTAGGGAAGCTAGGGGTCTGAATGTTTTTAGTTCTGCTCCTAAAAAGCACGAAATGTAACAAGATGCAACACCGCACTACTAAAAAAAAAATATGCCAAACCCCAATATTTAGCTGAATACAAATGCATTCTAGAATCTATTTCTTTCTGAAATCTGTAGATTTCAGTCTGCAAGATTGGAAAATAAACAAACAAACAAAACCCCATCACCTGGCAATGTATAAATTATTACTATTTTGCATACAGCAGATGGCAGCTATCTGGGGGAATGGAAGATTGTGTGTACAGCTTCATCACAGCGGTACTCATCTAGCAGCTGTTGCTTCTTCACACTTTTCACCAAATTTCAATTGTTTTAGCCAACAAATGGATGATATTAGGAAATAATAATTCAAATTAATAGTCTAACTAAAAATAAATGCAGTCACTGGAAGGAAACATGTAACAGGATAGCTAGTACAATTTTTTTTTTAAATTTACTGATAAATTTGAACCGCTTACTTGTACATATGCGCACGCATGTATTTTTCACACATACATATATAAAAACAAATGCTTGTATGCACAACAAATAGCAAACATTTTATATTTTGGTAAAAGTTTGATTACCCTTTATGTGATTAGCACAAAAGTAATCTGAATAATTGCTACTGTCCATCTAGAAAATATATTCTTTTTCAGATACATATTCTCAATGTTATCTGACTGAAAAGGTTAGATTTTTTCCCTATGACTATGATGCAGTTTTTTCTTTCAGCTTTTCAGTTCTCCTAAGTGAACTCAATAAAAGTAAATTATAAAAAGAAGCAGAATATATATTACAGAATACACATTACATTATAATTTCCCATACCATAACTGACCATTAAATATATCAAGCAAATAAAATACTTTGGGTCATCTGTTTTATTGCTAGTTTATTAATATTTGCTTCTGAAGTCACCTGGGGCCCAAGTTCTGAAACAAGTCACACACAACAATTTTCTCCAGCAGTGAAAGATGGAAAAAGTACCTTTTCTTGTGAGATGACAGCAGTTTTTAGAATGAAATGGCAGTAAACACCTACCTCCCTGAGGACAGGATCAGTGATACTGTCCAGGTTCACAGAGCCTTCATACGTTAGGTAGTGGAAAACATTGAGTGCACGTACTGCTTCTGGTCCTCGTTGCTTGTAGCCAAATATAAGGTCAATCCACTGATGAAGTTGACATGATACAAACTCACTTTCCAGGGCCTGCAAGTGAAATTCAGAGTTAGGAAGTGAATTCCATCTTGCAATTTCATGCTTAAATTATGCCCTACCTTCTCCTGTTAACTGAGGAAACATAATGGGTATCATTACATTTTCTGTTCAGGCTTATTCGATATATTTGAAATCCTTCAAACATTAAAAAATAGAAATCATTACATTGGGAGAAAAACTAAAAAGGTATTCTTTCCTTCAGCTTTATATCAAGTAATTTTCTTCACAACTACTGGGTTTCTCTTAGCTGCAAGGTGTTCAATTATTAATTTTTGGGCTTGTCAAATAAGTTAGGTAATTTGTCAAGAAAAACTGATGAAAATGGGAAAACAATTTCAAAACCCCAATCTTCCAACTCATTTTCCAACTAGTTCTAATTAGTCTTAAATCTAGAAGGGAAACTTGAGGATTAAAAAGCTGTATTGGTAAAATGAGGTTCTGAACTTGGTGTGTGAGTTGTGACTGATTTCTCAAAGGAGAAAAGCATTTTTCACACTCATTTTTGACATTGGGTCGGTTCACCGATGAAAACGCAGGCCACAACTAGCTAGTTTAAAAATGGGTTCAAGGATTGCTATTCTGTTGCTCAGCATATGGAAAGAGATTCATTCTAGATGGAGGAAATGATGATAGTATTAGTGACCTCTGGAGGTCATCTGGTCCAACCCTTCTGCTCAAGCAGGGCCACCTACAGCAGGCTGCCCAGGATCATATCCAGCTGGCTTTTGAATATCTCCAAGGATGGAGAGACTACAACTTTTATGGTCAACCTGCACCAGTCCTTGGCCACCCTCAGAGTAAAAAAGTGTTTCCTGATGTTCAGAGGGAACTTCCTGTGTTTCAGTTTGTGCCCATTGCCTCTGGGCCTGTCACTGGGCACCACTGAAAAGAGTCTGTCTCACTCACAAGAAAGAAAATACTAGCCTTAATACAATTTATTATGTAAACATCTAAGCAAATATCCCTTTGGCCAGTTTGAGTCTGTTGTCCTGGCTGTGCTCTCTCAGCTTCTTGGAGAGTGTGAAGAGCTGAAAAATCCTTGACTTAGTGTAGACACTGCAACTACCCAGCAACGACTAAAAACATCAGTGTGTTATCAACATTCTTCTCATAACAAATCAAAAACACAGCACTATACCAGCTGCTAGAAAGAAAATTAACTCTATCCCAGCCGAAATCGGGACAGCATCCACCCCTTATTCCATACCATCTATGTCATGCCCAGGTCCTGTAGTTCCCAATGCATTCCAACTAATCACCATCACTTCTCCTGTCTTTTGATATATAGACACAGATATCACTCCCTTAGTCTATAGGCCATTCCTCTAAAATATCAAGTTTACCACCACTTACTACATACAGGCAGAGCTTGCAGCAACACTCTTTATTACTTTATCTAATATATTTAATTCTCATGGATCATGGCTTTTTTTCTCCTGAGAAATCTTAATTTATCCATTGTTTCCATCACAGTGCCACTACTCAGCAGAGACGCTTTCCAGCTAGGACAGGGTTTCACATCTGCCCCGGGAAAGTTCAAATTTTACAGGTGAAGAAACATTGGAAAAAAATATGTTTTCATTTTATTCATTTATATCAAAAGGAGGCTGCTTCAGACATAATTATTGGACATTGCAGCACTGTTTGACGCACTGCCCACCGGCAGTAGCAGCCCCCTGCCAACCACCACACGCAGGAATAGTTGCAGATGGGGCAAGCCACATGGGTCTGGCTCCCCGGGTAATCACACGATCGTTCCTCAGACACTCTCCCTGTAATGCTCCACGTGGAAGAGGAATTCTCTGCGCTGTGGTGGAAAACTGGACCCTTTCCTGTCGAATACAGTGACTGTTATTTCTGAGGAAAATGGATGGGAAGGCTCAGGCTTAATAGCTGACATGTAGCTCAGTTTTCAAGGGCTTAAGTTCAGTGGACCATAAGAAGCTATGAAGAAATGTTGCAGAGAACCATATAAAAATTTGTTGTTTCCTTTTCAAAATCAGAGGCCATCATATGCAAATTGTGAGTAATATTATTTAAATAGCATTAATACTACTTAATGCTAAATACTATTAAACTGATACTATTTGGTTTCAAAGCAAGTCTCCCAATAAATAATTAAGAAATACCAGATCCTTAATTATATGGTATTGTGTGCGTGCAACATGATATAGCCAGCAATTGCGTCATCCCATATAATCTTTTTCATAGGACTTTTACCTCATTTAGCATGCAGGATGTTAGCATGCAAGGATAAAATTAAGTATGCCACGGCAACCATAAATAAAGCATTTGCTAACTTTTAAATGCTCAATTTTTAATGTTCCTTTGTATGTGATGAAATTTGAAATAGAATTTAAAGCTTGTTGTCTTTCCAGCACCCATATCCAACCAACTTACAGCGAGCAGCCTAACTGTTCTCTTCCTCCTCTAAACTCCTCATATTTATAAGTTTCTTTTGCATCTGTATCTATTATTTATTTATTAAAAAGTAATTAACAAAAAAAATTGTTTGGCATTTGCTTTAGTCAAAAATGGCATTGTTATTTCTAGAATACGGAGAACATTTCAGGAAAATGGTAAAACTTTTGATTATTTAGAGATGGGACAGTAAATTTGAAAAAATAAATGCTTGGGTCAAATGAGCATATTTCACCCATTATCTCTTCTAACATCGTCTCCCTGGTGTTAGGAGAGTTGAATGCCTATGTTATGTTTCCCTGAGGCAGTTTCTACTTGCATGACCAACCCTTACTCAGCAGCTTGTCATTCCAGAGAAGGTCTTACTGACCCTGGCAGGTTTGGAGAACTTCTATTTCACATGGGTGAATGGTTCTTTAATAACTTAGTAAATAAATGAGCTACTTTTTAACAGCAGCATGTCAGGTCTTCTGTCTCTGATTCTTTAAGCAGATTTGTTGTACTATGTTTACAGGTCTAATGGTTCTTTAAAGGTCTGTATGCTGAAATGCAACACAAGATTTGGGGAAATTTCTGAGGAGTGAATTTAATTATTTTGAACTATAAATTTAAGAACTCCGTAGAAATTTGGAAGTCGGAAGAATTGCTGTCAGGGACGCGAGGATGTTGGTAGTGGCGAGGGGACTAACAGCGCTGTGCCTGCCAGGCTCTGTGTGGTGGAAGACCAGTGTGCTGGGGGAACGTGGGGCAGAGACCGGACTGGAAGGTGGAGAGAGGAGCCAGAGCTGCAACTGAGAGTTGCTCTGCATGGGCCTCCAGCTGCGGGCTGTGATGGGTGCTGTGCGACACTTTCATCCTCCCCATCAGGGTGTTGTGTAGGGTATGGCTCTGGGCACGAGCAATAGGTAGGGTGCACTCAAGAATGGGCCACCAAAAGGCTACAAAGTCCTACCTGTCCCTCAGTGGGGACAAGGCTCCTGATCTGTGCTTTATAACCTGGATTCGTTTTGGGAGAAAGCTTCTGATCTCAGGTCTGACCTGGTTTGCTGGTGTTTCTCCCAAATACTTCTGCAACGCTACCCATGTGATACTTGCAAAATCCTCTCCCTAATTTGCACTAATGCACAGGCTGCTCCCCCTCCATGTAAGTGCCTCCTGAAAATTTATGAGCTGTTCACTGTCAACACTACATCGTTTGGTTTCTCAAGAATATGCAATGCTCAGTAGGGAATAGGGTGAGGGAATTTTCTGAGTAAAAAATAATTTGTAGGTACAGTAGGAACAACATACAGGAAAAGATAACAATAATGCCTTTAAATTAGGCTGCTGGTGGCCCCAAAGAACAGCATTTTTCAAGAACATTTTGGCTTTAAAACATTTTGGGGGCTTTAATTTTTTTAGCATATTTTCAATATGAAATATAAGGAAACATTTTTATCTTTTTTTAGAAAAGCAATAATAAATATTACTTATATAATGATATAATATTATTTATGGGTTTTAAAGATTCTTACCATTAAACAGAAATGAGCTAATATCCAGCTTGTTTTCTATTATAATTAAAATGTACAGAAAACAGAGGTTTATGCAGGCATTCTCAAACAGAACTTGTTTGAACAACTGTTATTAGTGCTTCATTTTCAAATAGCAGCATTCCCATCAGTATTTATCCATGGCTTTTGTTTTGAGGAAGGAGTCTCTTACATTAATACTTTCAATGGAGTAACTTCTATTGCTAATAGGTAAACCACAAGTATTATTATATATCTAGTGGGAGAAAAAGAAAAATTTTGAAGTAAAAGTACTGTGCGTTTTTGTGTGTTTGCAGGCAAGTGTAGGCACACATGTTCCACAGGCTGAAAATCTGACCTGTAGCTGTTGTAAAATGTAAATATGTATTAGTAAGTTTATTTTTATGTATAAACTAAATAAAGTTAATATAAGCCAAGTTACTGCTTAGTGGGATCAAGCACTATGGCTCTTTTCAGACTTTTGTGCAGTATGAGCGCTGCACACTTTCCTCTCCAATCATCCAAATTTGATGTTAAAATTATTTTTTACAGAGCTTCCAGTAGGAGGCATTGGTTTTTATTTTAAGGCACACTATGTGCTGTGTAAAGTATCAGGAGTTCTGGATTTATAAAATATGCTATTCCAACTTTTCCAACACATGAGCATTTTGTGTTACCTGGGTATTTTTTGTCGCCAGAGAAGAGGAAAGCTCTGATGCTGCCCCGTGTTTGGACCACAGCTGCAGCTGCCCCTCCTGTTTCTGCAATTCTTGCCTTGTTTCCTTCCCCTCCAAAGCTATATGCCATCTGTCTCTCCAAGAACTCCTTCCACCGTATCTTGCTATTAACTTACATTCTGTATGTTTAAAAACATTTCCTTAAAACTACTGTGAGACACTAGTTTTGTAGCTCTGCTCAATAACAGACCATCAGCTGTGAGCTGGGTTTTTCTCCTCTCCTCTTAAATCCATGCTCCTCAGCGGTCAATGAATGTATAGATTCTCTCTGCCTACTATTTCTCTGCCTCGTTTACCATTTCTTGTACTGACTATTTGAGTAAGTTCCTTGACTGTTGCCATAAAATAAAATGGGAAATGCTGATATATGAAATAAGTTATGTTCATTTAAACAAAGTAATATTTTAATAGATGTGAAACACAAGTGCATTCTACAGATTTGCTTTATTCAGGGATGTCTGCACAGGAACTGATCCTTTATGTGAGCATCTTCAAGATGTAAATAAGATTCTTCAGCGATACAGAAAATTAAAAAAAAAAAAAATCACTGCCACTTCCAAATTAGATTGAAACCTCTGTTAGCTGAATGAGTTTTAATTACATTGAGAACAAATTTTGGCAATACACAAAATAAAATCAAAGGTACTACTGAGGAAGTAGTACCAAATCTTATCTACTGCTATCTGGTAAAAAAAAAAGAAATTTCAACTGCTGCTGAATGGTGAGGAGAAAAGATAAATCTTCCAGATTCTCATAGCACAGAGATTTCATAATAGATGCTTCTAATGACTATTCAAGAAGCTTTTTAATTATGAAATACTATTCATGCTTCTGAATAGCCAGGGAACTGTACAAAAATGTAATTGGCAGCAGAAGAGTGCAAATAAATCATTTCAAAGACAGAAAGAAAATTCAATCTTAGTAACAGTTATGTAATAGGAACAAAATATGTATAACAAAAACAGGATACCGTTTAGCCTCTCAGAAATATAATTTATAGTGAATGCATTTTAGTCAACGCCGTAATTTATAATTTAATATATGCCTAAGCCATAATGAAAATATCATTATAATTAACTTTGAATTACACAACCTTGCATCTTTTGTTTCAAAACTAAAGAACGCTTATTATAAAAGCTCTGCTTCAGTGTTTCACAGTGGTGTTCCCTGCCTTGATTTAACATGCTTGACTTACTGACTGAATCTGTTCTATTTCTGGCTCTCAGGACTGCTCTAAGTCTGTGGGGACTGAGAGGCTGAGTAGGACTACAGATGCACATCTGTGAAAGGTTTTATGCGTGGAGGTTTTTTTCCTGGTAAACTGGGAGATTATGATTGATGAGCCCAGCATTAGGGTAATGTTATCAGGGACACTTTCTGCCTCTGTCCTTTGTGCCATCGCCGAGGTCAGACCATAATCATGTTAGCATTGAACATAGTGCTTTATTAATGTTTCATGAGTAACTCTGTAGTAATCAGTCTAGCTTTGTATGTATAAATAAAACTGCTACAACAATCCCTGATGTACACACTGAGTGCTTTAGAAGCTACTGTAATAGGTCTTTAAAAGTAACTTGACTGAATGCTTTTCTTGGTCTTTATGATAAGTCTAATTTTCACAAGTTTAAAGGAATCTCTTTTGATGGAAAACCATTTCCACTTCCATTTCTGTGTTTAGTTAGAAGTGTAAAACACCCAGTTGAACAATTAAATAAAACAACACCAAAAGCCTGCCTGCCTTTTATTAATTTGCACAGAATTTTAGTAAAGCTTGTTAACCAATTGGTTAAATTACGGCGATTTATGTCACTGTGCCTCTGTGATGTTTCCTAGGCTGTTCTCTACTTGCTTTGGTAAGTGTCAGGATGAAATGCTGAAATTCTTGCTGTTATTTAAAGAAAATCTTTACATTTATAAATGTTCAAGTAGACTGTATATAAGGATTTGTATTTACTCCCACATAAAATTACACATTATATATGCCTGCAGCAAGCAAAAAATATGTATGAACAGAAGAAAATATTGTCAGCTAGGGAAAAACAAGGTCCCACTGTGTGTTATGCAGCATCACATAGGATCCATTCCACTGAAATGAAATGACTACTGCTGATTTCATTAGACAAGGGATCAGGATAACACTTACTTGAAATATTCCTCAGTTTTCTGTGGCTTTCCTGTAAACATGTTCTCTACTTGCTTCGCTAAGTTGCTGTAGAAATTCCAGGCTTGCACAAGCTTGCTGTGTTTTACACGTCAGCACCACACCCAGGCTATTTTTTTTTTTCTCTCAAGATAGATTCTTGTATAACAGCCAAAGCTTGGCCTGGGGATGACCTAACTGAATAATACATCTGCTGGCCGGTGCAAAACATGGAATCAGACATTAGGTAGGGAATGTCAAACTTTCTAATCCCTTTATATTTGTTCCCTACTTTGACCAGTCTAGTTCTAGTGACCAGAAAAATAAAAGGCATACTGGCAGTTTGCTGTATGTGCTAATAAAACCCTACACAAACAAGATTTTCTGAAAAAATATTACACATTTTACCTTTCAAAATGTAATTCCATTACTTCTTGCTACACATACTATCCGCATTTTTGTGAAAGGGATTATCCTTCTTTAGCTACTTGCTACTTTATAATAAGCTTTATAAAAAACTATGCATATATCATGCTCTTTAAACAGCCCAAAGTTATTAGCTTAGTTTCTATCCTCTGAACTCCATCCAAATGTGAATACTTCTGTCAACTAGTTGCCCAGAACTGAATCCGGTATTCCAGGTGCAGTCTCAAAAGGACCGTAGACAGGTACTACTGTTTACATCCTCTGTGATGCAATGATTCTCCATAGATGGCATCAAAATACATTTATTTCTGGTGAATATAGAATTACAGAGTTTTATCTAATCTAATTGCTGCTCACTGTCACCCTTCCCTCTTTAATGCTCTATTTTTGGTACTATTTTTGTTTCCAGACTTCTGCTTCCTATTGAATATCTTCAATTCTTTCCTCCCAAGGTGATTTTCAGTGTATTTTCTGCATCTAATTCAAATAAATCTATCCCTCTTTCTGCTGTTTTCTAGGCAACTCCCAACTGCATTATCATTTGTGAACTTCATCAGACTGCTCACTTGAAGACAGCATGTATCTGTGTAGAACTGAATTTTACTGATCATGCTCTTGCTAAAAGTAGATGCGGGGATGAGTAAAGGCCATGCAGAAACTGCCTCCAGGCAAAACTGTATAATAACGGCATGATGCTCACATCAGGGGTGGAAGACAGTACAGGAAGGATATGATACGTAAGTGAGATCATTTCTGATTTTAAAAATCTGCAAAGTACTCAATTAGTTGAAGCCTGTAATTCTAATACTACTCTAATCTTAACATCTGTTTGTCTGTCTCCTGGCAGTCTGGCCATACTTACACATGTATGGAATCAGGCATTAGGGCTATTACAGTTTAATATTTAAAAGGTATTTCCAGCTTTTTAAGTATCAGCCTGTCTTGAAACTATAGTCCTGAGGGGACATAAATGCTATACTTTAAATTCATGCAAGCAGCTGTTTTCTTCAACAGCACAAAACAACACAAGCTATTTTCTAAAAAGCAGAAATTGCATGACAGAAATCAAATAAACTAAAGCTAAAGTTTTATCCTCCTATTAATCATTCCATCTTTGTGGAAAGGAAAGATGGAGAAAACACAATTTAGGATACAAGAAGGAAGATTCTTTATAAAAATTTCCCAAAGGGAGTCATTAATATGCATCTCATTATATTCCCCAATAGGTGGCAGCTTGTTTATCCTTTTTCACTAAGGCATCACATCTTCTTATAGATGTCAAAACTAAACCTCTTGGTCAACTTTAGTGTGCTTAGTCCTGGGCCCAGTTTGGGTTTAGCCACAACCACAATCCAAAAAAAGGGCTCTGTGCAGCAACATGGCCACTCCAGAGACATGTACCTCTGATTGCACATCCCACACTTGAGAATGCTAATGGGGGGTAGTCATCCTTTCAGTCCACCTCCTTCTTTGCTAGTAAAATTGCACTTGAATTTATTGCCACCAGCTGTGACTATGACTTATTTTTAGAAAGAATGTTACAATATATGCAGCTATAAGAGAAATCAGCCAAGAATAAGAAGGAAAATGTTGTTCAGTTTCTTCCTGCCAATGAAGGACTACTCCCTGGAACACATTTCTCATGCTTTGTGTAGTGCATTTCATATGTCTCAAGTGATGAGGTTGCCATCACTTCCTTAGGAGACAGCTCTACATATGTCAAACCATTTACTCTTCTAAATGGAGGACACTTCTAAATCACATACATCTAGGAATAGGTTTGTTTTTATAATATTCTTCTATTCTTTTGAACTTCATATGGCTATTTTTTCTATTAACTCCTGAAGAATAGTTTTCTTTAAATAGACACTTCTTGAAATTTAAATTCTAAACAAGCAGTTTAGAAGAAGAAAACCACTGCTAGACCTACAATGCTACCAAAAAAGCACTGTAGGTAATAATGTACAAGCTGAACAGTTCTACAATTGCATGGAAACCCATAGATTATTGAAAGTATAGTTCTTACTGTATAAGTAAGGCAAGGAATATCTGTTTTAACAAAGATCCATTTCCAAAAATAGAACCATAAATTGAACTATTGCTGGCTTAAATATCAGAATATACCTTGTTTTTATTAAAAATTACTAGAAGCCTTCCTACGTATTAAATCTATCATTAATAAAATCATTATCTATCAAATTCAAGCAAAAAATATGCAACATAGATAAACGTTTTTCATGCTTAAATTCTGCAGACTTCATGGTGATTTACATCAGAGCAGTTCTTTTGCAAAATTTCTTCAGAGACTGCAGTTGTTGGCTTATGTTCACATTTCTACACTTCCAGTTCATCTCTAATGAATAGGAAGTGCATAGCTTCAGTTGAGTAAGGAATATAATACATCCTACATGATACTAGCATTTATAATAACCTTTTATTTTTTGAAGTAGAAGGTGGTGAGGAGAAACAGACAGAAATTTTTCAAGATATCCTGTATTGTCCAACTCATGCCCATCTGAAGCTTTCTCATGAGAGAGTAAATAACTAAATTCCGTGTTCCTTGATTTGGGCACATGGAAAGAAAATCCATTGTAAAATGAAGGGTTCTGTCAAGCAAGACAGAATGTAAATTTTCCTTCTCTTTTTATTTCTATAAATCTAGTTCTAAAGAAATGAAAAATAGTATTAGGTTAGCTTGTTAAAACACAGAACTCCTTGCTTAGGCTAAACTAAAGTGCAGCTTACCATCCTGTTGATACGGACGAAGTCTTCAGGCTTCTTGGCCCATGGGGGGAGATCTACATCATTCACAGCAATTTCATCTTCTCTGATTCCTAGATTATAGCCATTACTGTTGACAAACATCTCTGGTAGGTAGTAAAACTCTGGAATTAACTCCTAGCAAGGAGAAAACACACAACATAAACCCACATTTAAACAGAAATGCTAAATGGTGCTGCCAGAATCAGGCTCTGTTGTAGTACACATTAAATTGTACATTTAAATTAGTAAATAATTCTTGGTTTTGTTTATATTTCTGTGCACTTGTTTGAGAAATTTTATAATCTGTTTTCTTGTACTTATGGTCAAATATAGTTTTCATAATGAAATATTCAATCTTCATTTTTCCTATATCTGTTTTTATGAAAAGCATAACTTTGGAAAAGCAATGAATATCAATAAAGGAGATCTCTTCAGAATAGCAGGTACAAGAAACTGTATACTAAGCTTTCAATGCTATAAATATGTTTGATTTTTTTAATCACTATTTAAATAAACTACTTAAGGGGTGTGGAAGTTGCTGATACAACATTGTCTTAATTTTACTTTCTCTATATTCTTTAGTGTATAAGAAAAGGTGGCAATTTGATTACCTATATAAGGAAAAATTCAGGGTGAAAGAATTTTTCTACTGTAAGAAGAACTCAAAAACACAGGGAAAGAAAAATGTCAGTTCAACAAATGTCCTCAAAACAGAAATACATGATATTTAAACTGTGAAAAATCATTAACTGAGTAGTAACGATCATCTGCAGTATATTAATACATTATAGATAAGTTAGAGTATGAAATTTTTCCCAATTTCCAGGAGAGATAAATAGAAATGCATTTTGACATAATAAATATCACCATTTGTTGCTATTATTTTAGCAGTAAATATTGAACTGCAATAACAAAAAAGCTTTAATGCCTGCTATCTCTCTTCTAATATCCAGGTATGGATTAAATTCACAAAACTACATTGTTAAAAGCATTATGGCATTCAATTGTGTAATATGATCAAAACTGATGACACAGCACCTGAAACCTGAGCCTCTTTGTGGTTCTTTCAAAGGCTGCAGACATGCGAAGCATAAAAAAAAAGTCACTGCAGACACAAACTTATCTAATTAAATCTCATCTGCAACTCCATAGAGAATAGAGCAGTTAAAGCATAGATGGTCCTTTCAAATTTATTCATTAAAAAAAAGAAAAAGAATATTTATTTTACAATTTTAAGTATGTTTAGGGAGGCAACTTACTTGCTTCTTTACATCATTTTTAATATACTACACAC